CGTAGTTATCAAAGCTTGTGTTTTCTTTTAAAATACACAATCAAATTCTCCAACAAAGTAATTTCACACCTCAATTCAGCAGACTTTATATACAAAGCTGTTTCACTGGCACAAGGTTATAGGCTATAGCTGATAGAATGTTCCAATTGAAATCTCTGCACAGCACGATGTACGCTGCATAAAAGATCAAAGTCTGGGGAAAAATGGTAATTTCTTCTCAGGAGACAGACACAGTTATGATCTAAGACTCTAAAGAAAAGACTATTTTTTCTGATGTTATAAAAAGTTATAAAATTGATACATCATGTTATCAACTTGGCAGCCACCCTCTTCTTGTGCCAGTGTAATGAAAATTTTAGTTTGCTCTCATGTCCTTATGGTTCAGCAAAGACTGGATTTAAACAAACATAATTTATTTAGCTGTTTTCTGTAGAGATATGTGGCTAAGTAGACAAAAAGACTGAAATCCTATTTTGTATTTTTCAGATGTCTTTGAACCTCAGTAACCCCACATTTAAAGGCAATAACCCTTTCTTTGTATGTTAGTAAAATTCAATGTGCCTACACTGGATTTTATACAGGTTGCTGGTCTCTTTCTTTGACAGCAGGTTGGAGTGGGCATCTTTCCTCGCTTCCACCTTGTGCACAAATAAGGAGCGGAACCAGCCTTTGTCGCTGCTTTCTGAAAACCTCCTACACAGAAACGAGATGAAAGAAGCAAACAAAAGCGCAAAGAAAAACCATTAACATAGAGACATTTTCAAATAATAATAATAAGAAAAAACAACTCAAAGGATTATAGGAAATGTCATCATACATAGACTAAAATATAGTCAAGCTGTTAACGTCTGAAATGAAAAATATGCATACTGTATCAGGCAGTGGGTTGAGTGCAGCATAAAATTTATATTCACCCACTGGAGTAGATATGTGGGAAATATTTACTTAAATCATGAGAAACTCGAATCAGATTCTGATTACTAGTTATGATAAGTTTTGAATAAAAAGTCTGTTGTTATACTTATAGATCAGTACTTCTTCAGGCTGAGGAGACCTTAACCCATTTAACACAGAGTCACAGACCTCCTAACCTAAATTGCCCCAAAATACATCTTAATATATAATGCAACCTGAAATGAAAATGGTAGTCTCTTAACTCACATATTGTTGTTTTCTGTTTTCATCCTACTGAGAAGAGTCGTGCTTTTTGGTAGATGTGACTGACCGCAACAAAACCATGAACACGTTTACTTGGGCATTTTGACTTATTTAAAGATTCTGAAAGTGTGGAGTCTGAGCTTGTCAAACATAACTAAATAAAAAACAAAAGGTGTTCTTTATATCAGATGTTGTGTCCATAACATTTATGGATATTTGTGATTTAGAAGCAGAAAAACAGACTTGAGTTGCTTTAGCAGAAACAAAAAAATCATTTTCTGCACCATAGAATCCATAGAAATATTCATTTCTATCGATGATATGTATTTATTGCATTTAATGAATTTAATTTAATCACTTTAATCAAATAAAATAAGCATAGCTGTAGACATGTAAACAGAGCATCATAGATATGCAAAGTCATAAAAAACAAAAAATATGAACTGAATCGAGTCCTAATCACGACAAATAAACTGTCCTTTACATGCAGTACCCTGCGGACCACTGTTAAAATGCACCATTATCCCAAACCTTTCTATTTCTATTTTTAAATGTTCTTAATGTAGTTAAATTACTACAAGTTTGAAAGAGATAGACATAATGAGCTTATTAAAAAGTAACTAAATCTGCAAGCTGACAGCTATGCCATATTGACAGTACCTTAACAAAATGTAAACTGTATTATGGGAAACTGTAAACACCACAGTCTAAAAACTATATTATCCATCATGTTTATATAAGCTGTAGGTATCTTTTGTTCTTTAAAAGAAAAAAAAAATCTTATAGATAAGTACAGCTGTATTGAAACTAAAAATCAAAATTTGTATTTGTACAAAATAATCACATCCACTATTAAGCAGGCCTGTGACATTCAGTGACTTTTGTTGCTTTTTATAAACTCAAAATGTCTAAATCCTTTCAAAACTGCTTCAATTAACCTCAATTTCAGGCTTTTGCAAAGGATTTGAAATGTTACAGGATATCTGCGCCACACATATGGATTAGGGAGAGCTGGTTCCATTTTGTGCTTTTTGAAAGCCATCTGTTAGTTCACAAGCAGATTTAAGACTTTCTAAAACCCTCAAACTTTCAGGGTCAATGAAACTTTTCATTTAGTAAGACTGTGGGCTGATGACTTTAATTAGGAGCCATGATTAACCACAACATTTCCATGAATTAAAAAAAAAAAGCATAAGTTGTGTTTGAATTATGTTAAAATCAGTCAGAGCAGAAATCATTGCTGATGGAGGCCCTTAGTGTGCTTTTACAGTACAAGGTTCAGAGGTCTAGCAAATCATTAAAGCAGGTTAGAGACTGCGACTCAGATAACATTTAGGACTTATTTTTAATAATACAAATTTATATTCACCTATAAGAAATTTTCAAGTCAAATACTGAGATAAACTTGTGGATTTCTAACAGTGTGGTATTACAATCAACAGTCACAGTTAGGGTTTTGATGTTTCTGAAAATTAGCAGACAGACTTTGAAATGTAGTAAGATGGTTTCCAACTTTTTACAAGTTCATGGTTTTGCTGACAACCTTAAAAATCTCCTTTCTTCCAGTTTGAAAGGATGAACATATAAATAAAACAAACGTACCTGGAGGTTTGGTGTAAGTAGACAGAGGACCTGTACAGTACGTGTCCTGCACTCTGCACAGATCTGCAGCTCGTCGCCATGTTCCTCTGGAAAGCGACACAGTTGTCTGATGCTCAAGCATTCCCTGCTGGTTAATGTTTACATCTGCTTGCGTGAGGTGAATTGACAGGTAATCAGATTGGTTGAAAACCGCTGATACTTTTTAGCCCTCCAGAGGTTAAAAACATGCAGGACTCTGTGAAGCAATAATCCAATGTGCAAACTTGACCAGCTGATAGAGTCTGAGAGAGGCCCAGGTTGAGGCAAAGTAGACCTGCATGTAGATTGTGTACAGATTGATATCTTGTAATTGCATCAGTTTTGTTATGATTTTTAAAAAAACATTTAGGAATTTGTAAAGGTGTTGACACACTTTGTGTGATAGAAAAAAAAAATCTCCAAAAGACAATAGATGATCATATAAATCCTAGCTTTTAATTAAATCTTTTGAAAGCAAAAGGTAAAAACGTCAAGTTTTAAAAGCTTTGTGTCACAAAGCAATCATACAGCAGTTTATTTTTTTTCACTTTTAGATTTGTCACTTTTTACTCTTTCTGGCTGAGAAAAAGGCATTTTGACTTAGTACAGAATAGTGAGGTTGTTACCCTTCATTCGGTTGCTGACAGTGCCTGAATTTCAGCAGACAGCAGACAGCATTCAGCATGCCGACACATTTCAGAATTAATCCTCTTCCATCTTCTGTCAAATAGATAAATAAGTCACTGGAAGCTATGCAGAGTCATCATATTGTATCCACAGGCTTCACAGCTACCAGCAGATGTGCTTCATGACTCAGTGCAGGTTTTCTCTCCTGTGACTGCAAATACACTTACAGACTTTGTTAGTTAACAAAGCTAAAATTTGTTATTTTCATTCATTGCATTAGCGTGACACTTTATTTTCACCGAGGTTTGTCAGTTATTTCACAGTAATAAGCTTGAGAACAAACAGTACCATAGTTTTTGAAATCTTTTGCTGGATTGTATATCCCAGCAAAACATCCTGTCTCCATGTATCTTTTGATCAATCACATTAATTTATTCAAGAATTATTTTCTTGAATAATAGATTATCACACTGTATGCTATCCGCTCCCCTGGCTAAGTATAAGGTGTCATTTTTACACCTTATGTGATCCCTGAAATTTGACAAAACTAAGTGAATACACAACTTTTTAGTAGCATTTATCAGATATTTAAGCTAAAAAATCTGGGTTGGAGTTCATTTTTGGGGTACTTGTGTATGGGGGAGTTACATGCATCCAAAGTGACATTTTTCTGTACACTGAAAAAAATAAGTCATTGGATGAACATAAAAAAATTATGGAAAGGATTTCCACCTGATTACTTTGCTTTATTTCAGCACCATGTACTTGTGTTACTCCTATTTAAAGCAAATGTGTTAGGTCAACCTAATTTATTAAGATTATTCCAATGTAAAGCAAATGTGTTGGCTCCACTTGTTACAATGGTGATTCAATGGGTGATTCTAAATCAAACATGTTGGCTCAACGTAATATATTGTGGTTATTCTTATATAAATAAAATGAGTTGGCAAAACATAATTCATTAAGGTTGTTCTAATTTAAACCAAATATGTTGGCTTAACCAGAATTATGGTAATGCAATGGATGATTGTAAATCAAATGAGTTGGCTCTACTCCATTCATTAAGGTTATTCAAATTCAAATGAAATGTGTTGACTCAACATATGTTTTAAAGGTTCCTTTAACTCAGTCACTATAGTGTGACCCAGTGTAATGCAATACAGCCAGCCCAACTAATCTGCAATGTTTAGGACCAAATCATTGATGTTACTTCATTAAGATGAATGTAAATCTAGTTGAAACCACCTTATTTTACACTGGTACCTTCACACTACCTGATTCAGTAGGTCCAACTCACTAAAAGCAAGTTAGCTCAACAAATATGCTTCATGCTAAAAGACAGCTAGTTAATCGTGTGGAAATCCTTTCCATTATTTCATGATGTTAATTCAAAGACATATTTTCAAGCGTTAATCAAGCATTTTAAGATAGCACTAGGTGAAAGTGTAGGAAGAACACTCAACAATTAGAAAAGGTACAACACAATTGTATTTTCAGAATTACTATACATCGTTTTTTTACACAGCACAAAACACAGCTGAGTTGGACATTGAAATAAAAAAACTACAAAAAGGTTACAGTTTCATTTCCCAGCCAATTCTTTACAGCATAAAACATGTCAGTATAGTTGCTCAACTTAGAGAACTGTAACAATATAAATCTTTTCTACTGCAGACTTTAAACACTCATTTTCCATATGAAACTTTGCTCAACTTAGCAGCGAGTTTCATATTGAGAACGTGTGCTTTCTTTGATAAGTTCTTTCCATCCAATTTCATTATTATTTTCTGTATTACTTCAAAGGTATGCTTGAGTTACTGAGCAAGTTGAGTGCTGAACGCACTAAACTTGAGGGTAGCTCAAGTTTAGTGCATAGATTAGTCCCAGCAGCATCACTATTGCAGAAGATACACTGCCCAAGCTGTTCATAACTTCCACCTCCTCCAGGACAATCCCAACATCCAGATGTGCATCGGCAGCCTCTGCACCCTCTGCTCAAATGACGATTCCGAGGACAGCCTCGGCTTTGGCCATTTCTGCGCATTCATCAACGTCCTAAGGGAGTTAGGGAAGGGTATTGGGGGAGAGACAATTCACATGTAATTAAATAAATAAATTAAGATTGACATTGATTGAGTCACTCATGGACCTTAGTTGGTGAAAGTATTTTAACAACTCTTAGGACCTCTATTGTAAACACAAAGAGAATTTAACATACCATGTACTCCCTCACCAGCTTCTCTGGATCTTCATTTAGGTACACACAGACATTTGAGGATGCACTCTCGTCTGACCTCAGCAGTGTCTTCCTAAATATGCAGATCAAAAACAATGAGAACAATCTCAAAACTCCAGCAGTATAGGTTCACACACTTGAAAGCATAGCTGCATTCAAAGGAAGTCACAACAAAAGTGATCAGTGGCTTGCAGTCTATTTGAAAGATATTTAAAATTGTTAGTATCCCTTCATTATGCCATGACTAAAATGGAGTTTAACATCTCATTTAAACATCTAACTGAAGCTGTTAGAGGTTTAAATAAAGACATGAATATATCACCAAAGAAATATGTGAAAAGTACAGAATGGTCAACACAGTCTATATCCTTCTACTTAAATGAATATGCAAAGCATTCCATGTCTTACAAGTACATGGACAGTCTATGTGTGGGCATGGATAACGTCGCATATGCCGGTGTTTAAGTGTAAAATGTTTTAACAGGTCATATCTACGAGACAGAGAGAGACTACACTCCTTACATTTCCACATCCCCATGCAAATAAAGACAAATAAAACAGACTGGCCAAATAAATGTTTAGCTGAACTCTAGCTCTATAAGCTCTCTAACACTACATTCAGTCACTTTAGATCTGGCAAAACTTACTATTAGCCACTGAAATCTATAACTTGATAGCCGATGAGCCCCTTGACCAGTACTTACGCAGGTGGATTACAGACAGGTGATGTTCTGAAAGAGATCAGATATATTTTCAGCCATTAAAATATGCAATTCATACTGAACTGAGTTGTATCTTTTAGTACAAGTCCCTTGAATGCCTCATGAATATAACCACTGGACACATGCAAGCACATATGTGCAGAACAATGGTGAATTGAACATGGTAGAAAGCAATAGTAACAAAGGTCAAAATGAGCACAAACAATCAACACAAAAAACATCAACATTTCAAAATTAAACCAATGAACTTCAATATTGTTTCTGAGCTACAATTATTTGGGGACAACAAAGAAGAGTCCAAAAAACCCCAACATCTTTACAGCAGAGGAATATGTATTTTAAAGAAAAAAATAGAAAGCTCAAGTCTGTAATAATGGATAATCCATTGAGAGTTTTAGCCTGACAAAATATACTAGAAATCCATAACTAACAGGTATTTAAGGAACATTTAACAAAGCTCAGAAAGCAATGCTTTCTGCAGGTTTCACCGACTGAAATGTAGGACTTTTTATTACCATAATTAATTAAGAATCTCGATGATGATAGAAAGGTACCAAAGTGTGTGTATCTACATTTACCTCCATAGTAACATTACTGAAATAGAATTAAAATAGTTAGAAATAGACTGATGTTAGATCCGTGTGTTAAAAATCCACTAAACCTCCAGGGAGCTCAGGAGGAGCAAAACTGTGACATTTCCGGGGTCCATTTGTGTCTCTGGCAGCAGCTTTGTGACCTTTACACTACATATGGCTCTGCAGAGTTTTTGCACAGAATGTACCTAACATGGTGCGGCGATAAATGTAAACAAAAAGCTATCTGCCTTAACCTAACCGACTTAATCTACAGAACATGAAATAATGTGACACAAGTATGGAACAAGTAGAAAATGGTGCAAATGGTAGAGAAATTTTAAGTTACATATTTTTATATGGATTTAGATGAAAATAGTTTGACTCTTACCTTCTTCAAATTAAGTAGATGCACGCCAGGAATCTCCCCTCTGCCCTTGAAAAAACCCAACAAGGTGCGAGCCAGTTATCTCGCGTGATTTTCCGTGATGAGTCTGACACAATAGCGCTTTGCTGACACAATAGCGCTTTGGAACTGACGTCACTGTGTTTTTTTTTATTAGATTAACTTTGACAAATATTGATATTGAATAAAATAAAAAAAAAAAGATATATATATATATATATATATATGTTTAAAAAAAACATATATATATATATATATATATATATATATATATATATATATATATATATATATATATATATATATATATATATATATATATATATATATATATATATATATATATATATATATCTTGGCACAGCCAAGATACTGCGCAGGACCCTCAAGCTCCCAGGCCTCTGGTAGAGGCCTGGGAGCTTGAGGAATTAGATGTATTCAAGTTGAGATAACGTCATTCAATCACGTTAGTTCAGTTGAGAGAAAAAACCGATTGTCTCGCGTGTTCTCGCGTGATATCCCGTGATCTCACTCGTTGTCGTCAGCACAATATCAGTCTAACTATAATGAATCATGTTAGCTCAACATGATTCAATTTTATAAATGTGAAGTCGTGGAATATCTTGTTTATCCAACATGATTTTATCACGTTTTCGCTTCAAACCCAACATTATTGTGTGAACGGTACATGATATTCTTTTGTTAATGTAATACGCCCCGACGTTCTTTTTTTTTTTTGGCGGAAGATCTAGCTGACGTAATTGAATCACGTTATCTCACCTTGAATACATTTTATTCCATTTGCGAGAAAAAACCGATTGTCTCGCGTATTCTCGCGTGATATCCCGTGATTTCCCGTAATCTTGCGTGAACTTGCGTGATATCGCGTGATCTCACTCGTGGTCTTCAGCATAGGATCGGTCTGACTATAATGAATCATGTTCGCTCAACATGATTCAATTTTATAAACGTTGAAGTTGTGGAATATCTTGTTTATGCAACATGATTGTATCATGTTTTTGGCTCAAACATGCAATTATTTAGTTAACAGTACATGATATTCTTTTGTTAATGTGATAACCCCTGAGGTTCCTTTTTTACAGTGTATCTATCACAGTTTGAGTCTGTCTTGGTGCTGTAAACAGACCTGTTACCTAACGGCGGACAGTGGTTCTTTCATAGCTGGGTTTTTCTATTAAACTAGTCACGCTGTACTTAAATCCTTTTTGTTCAACCCACTTTCACTTCTTTTCAAACACAATGCAGTGCTCTCTGATCCTCCCCATCATTTCTACCCACCTGCATTATATAACATCAAATCAGATCACATCATATCTAAAAAGAATCATCCTCAATACCTGCCCAATTTCAGAGACTTTGTGGATGATATGCTTGGTGCAGTGAAGAAATGCCATTTATTTCTTCCACCTTTATATTAAAGTTACTTGGGATTTAACTACACATAATCATTTCAGTCTGAGGCATAGTTTATAAAAGAAATTAATCTCCATAAAAAATTACTTTTCTTTAAGATTTTATCCTTTTCATCTGTTACATTGAACAGACTTCCTAGCTTTTAAGTGGCAAATAAGTACAGCAATTACAGTTGCAATTTTCAAGATAATGCTTTTCTGAGCATGCCAAATGCGCCTCTGTGTTTCACTCTCAGCACTGGGAATATTTCTTTCACCGCTTTATACAAGTCTTCGAAATACTGGTTGAACTGGTATGTCCTAGAAAGTGACAGATGTAATGATCGGTTCGTCTATTGAAAACAGCCCGAAAAAAAGTGGTACAATTATGTCACTTACTGAAAGTTTTAATGTCTCCATGACTGAAATTTGGGTTTCTTGAACAAACTGATGGATCTCATGGCACCCATCGCTCCAGATGTGGCTTCTATTGATCTGGTCACAAGCAGAAATCATAAAGCTTAAAATCTACAGTCTGGATTTGCACAAACATGCTTTTAATCATTTTTATTGCTGGCAAAAAGGTAAATAAATTAACATTTTACCTTTTTACACGTTTACTTTATTTTTAATTGTTAGTCCTTCAAATTGTACAGGTACTATGAGCACAATATTTGTTTGATGTCAAGTTTGTTCAATGGGAGAAATGTTACCTGAGCAGCAAAACTTGTAAAACTTTCTCCTCAAGATTGAGAGCACTCAAATTTGAAACTGGATGTATCCCTCTTGGTGTTTTTTTTCTTTTCTTTACATTAGCAAGTTTTAGCTAAAATACATTTGCATTTAAAATGTTAATAGATATAGAAATAAAACTATATAAATGAACAATCCACTAATTTTGGAAATGCTGTTTATTAAGAGACCTAAAATTATTAACTTTTTAACCTTTTCATTCACCCACAGCATACTTCACTTGTTAACTTAACAAACTACAGCTAATTTTATTCATACTACTATCATTTTGGCTCAGACCTCTATTTGTATGTAAAGAGCTTTTTTATTATTATCTTTCATCCTTGTTCTCTTTTGGCTTTCCACTTGTTTCACGAACTGAATTTGTTCTTTTAAAACCAAAGTATCATCTCATTTAAATCCATGCAGAACAACTTTTCATACATCAATATGCAGGAAAAGATTCCCATCACAGGCACATAAACATAATCAATCACACTTGCTCATTCTTTTAACTGACTTCAGAGTCTTGACAATTACTTTTTTTCTCCCTCTGTGGCCATGGCGCTTCAGCAGTGGTGCTGACATAAAAGCAAAGTACAGTGATCCGTTTATTTATCCCATTTTATCCACTGCTGCCCCCCGTTGCTTGTGAAGCCAGAACCAATCTCTTTTCAACAACTTACATTCAGGAGTTTGATTGCCTTGTTTACTTTGAGGCCCGTGGCGAGGAGGATGGCTCCCTCAGGGGGTATTCGGCTGTTACTGTGGCATGACAAAAATACAGATAACAGATAAAAGGGTGTTGGAGTGTGATGTAGGTAATCATAAAGTGTTATCTTTTAAATTATATTATTCAGTCAAGTAGCAGTAACCGCTAGGAATTTGCAAAGACAGCTTGGTTTTGTTGAAAAAGCAAAAACAAGAAATTTGTCTTTTCTGAATGCTCATTTTTATCTTGAACTTGTCCCTTGTACTTCATCTGATTATCAATCCCAAAGAAAGCAAAGTTTCTGACCTAACATTCAGCTCCTCCACAACATTGTTTTTCTGTCCTAAAGTGATGGCTCCTTCTCTGACAAAGTCCTTAAAAGAAAGCTCTGTTCTTGTTAGGGTAACATTTTTCTGAAGAACTTGTGAAAAAATAGTGACTTTGCTAGAAGAAGATATATCTTTAATTATCCAAGACAAACATGTCACAGAAATACACACTGAACCTGAAACACAAGAATTTGTTGATCTAAGTAAGCACTGAAAAGCATTTTGTATTTAGTATTTACACTCAAATGTTTTCTACCAATGCTTTCTCAAAGTTTAAAAAACACAAGAGTTTTTCATTTGCTGACATTGAAGTGAAAAATGAATATTGCTGTGCATGCTTGTGTCTATGCACTTGTACTGTATACAAATGCAGAGGAATAAACTAAAGAAAGCTCTCAAAGAAGTTTACTCATGAGAATACACCTGACCTTCTTGGTCATTAGAAGAAAAAGGAAAGTAATTCTCACCATCTCTCCTCTCTCTTGCAATGTTTTGGAGAAAATCTTTGCACTGTTGTTTAAGGGGATGGAAGAAATAATTTTACATATTTCCCTTTGACATCAGGCACATTAAACGTCTTAAAATGAAAATAATACGGAGTAAGAAACGCTTAAGACCTTTGTTGATCTAGAACTCACAGTTTCTTATAAAATCAGAAAAGAATAGCAGATTTATGTGATATCATTCTCCACTTCCAGGTCATATGACTTATTTCTTAGCAGAGTTTAAAAAGTAAAAACAGGATTTTCTAATTTTATCACCCCAAACGACTAGCCAACATCATTGCTCCTTTTCCTTAAATGCAGTTCCAGGCCACAGTAAGTCATCTCTGACCCTGGTTCTCGGATAGAGTGCTGCCCAAGGTTTTCCCTAAGGAGAAGGGAATACAAATTTCGTAAACAACTTGGCAAAATAAAAATATCAAAAAAGCAAAGAAATCTTTCAAATTTTTTGTCTTGTTTGTCTGTCCTTATATTGCCCTCTGGCTTTTCCTACTTGCTTAAATTTTGCATGTTTATTTTAATATCTGCACAAATCTGAATAACCATGCAAATTGTCACGATATTAGTAAAGCTGGAATATATATTTGAATATATTAGCAACATTTTAAAATTGTATTTCTATTTTAAATAAGTCATCAAAGCAGTAAAACCATAGAATTTTCCTTTTATCTTAGGTTCTTTATTATGAGACAGCTTTTCTCATTATTCTATTTTATTTCTTTGAACAAAGAAAAAAATTCTCATCATCCCATCAACAGAAGTATTTGAACATGTCTATGACTCACAAAAGAAGAAAAAAAAACACTTCAGACAGCCCATTATGTAAATATTTAAAATGCATTAAAACAATAACATAAATGCCAGAGTATTCAACTTCGCCTCTCTGTCTCTTTATGGAAGAGACCTCTCCAGACTCCAGATGACAGCCTTTTGATATTTCAGCAGGAGAAAAGGCCAAGTATATGGAGATAAATCATACCTGCACATATGGCAATAAGACATGGAGGCATTCCCGTTTTTGCGCAATCATTTCCAATTACCTGCAAGAGACGTTCTGTCTCCTGCTCGGCCATTCTTCCAAAAGCAGCCAATCACAAACTCATCCACATGATAATTGGAAGAGATTTTAATGAAGGTGCAACGTTCCTGACCTTTCAGTGCCATAGCCTGCTGATGTTGATGTGCAGGGATGAAGCTCCACTATTGCTGCAAATTCTTTTATAGAAATGGCTTTTTCAAGAAGTCTAATAATGCTGGAGCTGAGCTTTCATGGTGTCATCGCTGCACTTTACACGGTAATTGTTCAATTCATAGGGCTCGATTGTTTATGCAGTTATCATTCAATCAGGCCAGATGGAGGACTGTGGAGATGTATCTGGAAGCTTTCAGCAG